CTTCAAATGAAATACGATTTGAGTTAATCAGGACAAACAATTACTAGATATACATGGAAAGATAGCATATATTTTAATTTTGGTTTGTCTAAAGAGAGAGCAAAACAAAGTAAAGTTTCTACTGCATCATATCGCGAGTTTCGTATGGGACCTCACAAAAGAGCAAAGAACCAAAAATATTCGACGATGATGGAGCAATCTCCTATATTCGTTCCCTCCCCCCCCTTCCCCGGCTTTGTTGTGTTGCTCCTCTTTGTCGAATTGTTCTCATTTCCATTATGATCTCGTTTCATGTCTGTAATAGTTTTACTACATCGCTGCTTCATGTTTAATCGAGGGAGAATGATGATAAACAGCCTAGAGAACAACAGAGAATACTTATATGCTTCCATAGGAATCCAATGGTCACTGTTATTCGACCACATACTACATACTTTAAAATTCTAAAATACATATATGTACGTGAACAAGTCGTAAACACAACCTTTCATAGGATGAGTTATACTAGCTACAATGTACATGTGATATTTGATACAGCCATTGACTGTAACAGATCAAAGACATATAAGCCTATGGAGACATACTCGCTTATTTGAAATGAATATCCATCTTTAGATATATAAATGTACTAAATATAAACAGTCATTCCATTTTGATAGTATATTCATGAAACACTCACTCGTTGCTTGGATACAGTAAACGTTTACGAAGCTTCTTTGTGATTATGCTTGTGTCACATATCGATGGACGTAGGTATATATGTACCGGGATCGATATCTACACATGACAAAAGCCACAAATGTTTATTGTTATGTTGGTAACAAAAGAAATATTATTATATTAGATAGTATTGCAAATTATACAATGTACTTAATTGGTGTTCGTCTTGATGACGTATCACTTGGGAGGCACGGTAGTCTAATGGTAGGACGCCGGGCTCTTGACCGAAGGGTTGTTGGTTCGAGTCACGGCACGGCACAGTGTTGTATCTTTGAGCAAGATACTTTACTTCTCTTGTTCCAGTCTACTCAGCTGTAACAGATCACGTGGTTGGACAGTGCTAGAATTGTAGAATGCTAGCTGTGAGCGCCGAAATGGCAGCACCGGCTGTATGCTCCCCGTGATGTTGGGAAAGTTACTGACTGGTTGCAAAGGCCTTATCAGCAAGGATAATAATTTGTGAACCGCTTTGAGACAACCTACGAACTAGGTTGTGATAAAGCGGTATATAAGAACCTCAAATTAGCATTATTTATTATTATCACTTTGCCATACCAATGTGCATCAACATATGTTAAATCAACACATAGGATTGTGCGGTAGTATGTGCAATGCTCATACCGGCATGGACATTGTAAAATGCTGTTCAATATATATATTTATATTTTAAATTGTATAGTCATTGATCTACATGTAGGTATTCCTTTATAATTTCGATATGAAGTGCTTGTTTCGTCAGTTATTACGGGGTTCCTGACGTCACCAAAATGTTGGCTGCTAACGGTTGTATCACATTATCTGAGGCGGGAAAAGAAGCTTCAAAATGACGCTGATCAATTTTGTGTTCATAACCCTTTGAACGTTTGTTTGTTTCTTTCTTTCTTTGTTTTTATTAACTTTGAAAGTGTAGGTATCCGTAAGTCATACTTGTAGCTAATAACACTAGCCTGTTCCGTCGATTGCGGAAGGAAATAGACGTCGTCCGGTCTGGTTCTTAAATCACTTCGATAAAAAAATACATCTAGCTCCTTGCATTCCAAGTGGAATGTGTAGGTTGAATAGTGGCGAGGCGTATGAATACAAATGAACCATTTTGCGCTTAATACGCCAGTCTACAATGGAAAGTCTGAATAAAATATATTGTCAACATATCGATTTACGATTTCAAGTCAAGATGACAGTGCGCGCAATGCTCAGGGTTTTTTGTACGGGTAGATGATACATGATGCATGTAACCTAAATACAATATTGATGGCATATCGTCACACTTATACATACTATGAAATAGGAACTGCCTATAAGCGAGCGCACATAGTTCAGTAACCTTTGGGATGACAGTGTAGAGTTCGGGTGCCTGCGGCGCCCCCAGCTAAGAGATTTAAGGTAACAAAACGAACAGAATCTCTTCTTTGGACATAGTGCGCTGAATATTCTTCCATGAAAATGAAATGAATGGTGGTAAAAAATTAATGTATTTCAATTAAGAAAACCTGTCAGATATTCCATGTGAGCCTTTTTGTTGTTACTAATTTACTATTATTTTAACACCCTTGTCAATATATCGCCTGATCCATTTAGGGCAAAATTTTCTCAAGACAAGATGAAAGAAATAGGATCTACTGTGCATAGAAAATATGTATTAGCAAGGCAAAGTATTGCAAGGCAATCCATAGACCCCCATGGCCACCGTAAGAATGTATATACACAAACAGTACACTTATGTCAGGAAGCATATACATAGGTCACAGTGAGGTCATAGTGACCTACTTTACTACACCATCCCAAGATGTGCTTGTTCACCAAATCTGGTTACTCCAGGTGAAATAGAAGATATGCCCCGTACACATATTTTCAAAAGTAAAGGTCAAAGGTCAAGTCATAAGTCACAGTGATCTTAATCTTGCACTTTGCAATCCTCCATCCCAAAATGGTCTTGGACATAAAATCGTTTTACTCCAGGTGAAATAGTAGAAAAGAAAAGCCCCGGACTAACTTTTTTTTCAAAAGTTAAGGTCAAAGGTCAAAGCATAGGACACAGTTAGGTCAAAGTGACCTTTTTCGTGCACTCTTCACTTCACATTCCAAAGATGTCCTTGTTACACTAAATCTGGTTACTCCAGGTGAAATAGATATGCCCAGTCCAACTTTTTCAAAAGTTAAGGTCAAATGTCAAATCATATAGGACACAGGGAGGACAAAGTGACCTTCTTGCACTCTTCACTCTGCCATCCAAAGATGTCATTGTACACCAAATCTGGTTACTCCAGGTGAAAAACTTTTCAGACGGACGCACAGACGGACGAAGTGCAAACCTATAATCATTCGAGAACCCTTCGGGGATTGAAAAAATAATAAAACAATGTACTTCTTTTTCAGTTCATGAACATCTACATGTTTGCCTAAATTGCCAAACCCAATGCCCCAGGCTAGTAAAAAATGTCAATGTTTACTTTGAAACATAAGTAAGGCTTGTATTTGTTTTTTCGAAACAACCTTGAAAGGGCTAGCATAATTGTATTCCTGAGTGGTAACAGACCTGGGGAAAACTTTAGAAGTTGTACATGGATTGCAAGTAGGCATTTTTCATTATAGGACATTAATTTCAACCATTTCAATGTTATAAGGTCACCATGCTGGAGTGACTGGACCCTAGGAGCAATCACAGTTAGTACGAGTGTGTTAATCTTCTCATAACCTGCAAAGAGCACGGTAATTTCTAAGTACACACAAACAATAATGACAATGACAAGTTTTTATTCTCGCAAACTGGTTACTGTGTAGAGAACTTACATATATATAGTACAATTTACAATCATGGTGTTAATGTTAATATTGGAGACGCAATGGCTGCAACATCCATTCCTTTTGAATAACCAAATGATAAAACAAAACATTATATTGTTAACATATTTTGAACCTAAAGCATGATACCACTGTACCAGTATCTGCAGAAGCCACATGCTGCAATAGATATAAACAGGACCATTGCAATTACAACACATAAATGGTACATATACAACAGTGATCTTATGTTATACATGAGATACATGGACCTGAGTTGTAATGCAATTATGTTATTTGTTGTAGTGATATAAAATTCAAACAAAAACAGAACAAAAGTTCATTTTATCCAAAAACGGCTTTTTGAATTCCTTGAGAGAAATTCATGTTGGGAGTGACCACTGACCAACATATATTATTGGTATATCATTTTTGGCGGGAACATCATCGTCTGACATACGGTATATATTGCTGACAATTTTCAAATGTAGTTATGGAATGAACGACACGGGAGTAATGAAATAACAATTTCAGATATAGCGATTTAGGACCTTTCCATCCATGAAGAGTGTTTGATTCTAGCATATCTGGATCTTAAGAAGAAGATTGTTGAAATTTCAGCCAATTTGCCCTCTCTGGCCCCTCCCTACAGGCCCTAGGGAGGGCCAGGTTCTTAATTTTCATAGCATTCAGTCACATGATAGTCATTCCAACCAATTTTGAATTAGTACCCAAGTGTTATTTCCCCATACAAATCACAGTAAGGCCAAAAACAAGATTTACATATGCTTCGTATAACCTGATCATGACCTACCCTATTTTTTTCCTGTGGACCTTAGGGAACATTTTATCACCTACTTTGTATCCATGAAGATCATTTTAATAGTCCGGCAAAAATTACATGCACTGTTATGGTCATGGGATTCTGACCACATTCTTGACAGAATAACAACAATTGAAATGCATAGACATTTATTTTTCTTACATTGGTTATTACCCTGTAGTAAGTATATATTGATCCATGAAAATTTACAACAACAAAAAATGCCTCCTTACTGACCAACGCCATTTTTTATCTGGAATGTTGCCTGAAAAACATTTTCATTTTGTTTCAGCCTAAACATTAACACTTTCTCAAGGAGGAATGAATGATCCAGAGGTAGCAAAATATTCATAAATTTGAAATAGGCCTACAGGACCTTTCCATCTATGATGAGTATTTGAATTTAGCATCTCTGCCTGAATAAGAAGACCGTTGAAAATTTAGTCAATTTGACCTCTTTTGGGCTCAAACTCCTGGCAGATTAGATCCACATGTAATTCATAAATTTGGCTTGCATTTGACCATGGACCTTTCCTTCAAACATTAACTGAAGTGGTTACTATGACGGACATAAGGCATTCACAAGAGGTCAACACCAAGACTTTGATAGCTAAATTAAATCAATTTTCTAAATTAAGTTCACAAATCACAAATGTAATACTCACTGCCTACCAAAATGCAAGATGTTCGAATGTCCTGTTGTTGTATGAATGCAGGTAAAGAACAAATTAACAAGGTTACATATATTTAAATAAAATGTACCAAGTAATGGGAATTCTCACAGAGTTGTATATAACTAGTTGTTTATGTTTATATATATTTGCAGTATTTACATAATTTCAAGTTGTACTATTATTTCCACCAGGATTTGAACCTGGGTCTCCCACCACAGAAGTGGCGAGTGTGATGACCACAAGTTTTATTCCCATTTTAACAGGTGCAAGATATAAGTTATGTAATCAGAGTTTCCCTGTATTTTCCAAATTTCAGTCTTTATTTTCCCAATTTGATTTAAAAGCATGTTCATACAATTTTCTAGTCATTATACCATATGAACAAAGTATTACCGTCCGTGAAGGAGCATTCAAAATATAAATAATGAAAAAAAAATAACAGGAATTTGAAATTGAATTAACAAAAACACCAAAAATTGATCTGTTTATTTATTGCTGTACATTTTACTGTAAGAAACAGCTAGATGAATGTTTTTGCAAATCACATTGTGGGTTTTATTCTATCAAAACTAAAAATGTTCCCTTAACATGGGGACACTGATGAAATTTCCCAATTTTTGCCAAAATGCTGATGATATTTTCCCAATTCCTTCTCAGGGACCCTTTCCCACAATAGCTGGCAAAAACCCTGGTAATAATGTTGACTTGCTTGTTATGTTTTGTTATAATTTCATTTAGAAAATCTTGAGATGCTCTGTTCTTGAATATATATTTTTTTATGTTGAAATATTTCAAAATTATAATGTATTTATATATATGGTACTTGTTTTGGTTAGATAATATACTGTTAACAGGAAAAAAATAAAGATTATTGAAAAGATATTTACATGTCAGCAACTGTTGTTGCCTTTTTAAGATCGTATTTAGATTAGCTTTGGTTTTGTTCTTATACTTGATTGGCATTTTCTTATTCTGACATTATTTTGACACTGTGGTTGTAGTCGTTTTAGGGCCGATTCCGGATATGCACATTGGTCTGTGACTATTGTATCTATATGGTGGTGATATGTGTGTTCAAATCCTTCTGTGAGCCCTTCTTGATTATCTGAAATATGTCGTCAACATATCGTTTCCATAAGCTGGGCTTGCATTCAATGGGGGCAGTGGATTTTGCTTCTTGCTCCAGATTTTCCATGAACAAATTAACCACAATATGAGACACTAGACTACCCGTAGCAGTGCCGAGGATGTTGTTTCGGAAACTAAAAGATGGTGTCAGCACAAATTCCAGCCAATCCTTGATGTCCTGAATCTGGAGAGTAATTTAAGTATATATTGGTATCATGAAGTTAGTCTGTATTCCCCCCTGGTTAGCATTGTTGTAGTTAATACAAAAGTGATGTATGCATAACCTTCTTGTAATTTGTACAGGAACACTGGTGTCGTCTAAGGCAGCCTATTCCCCAGCCTTACCAGACGACCTTGGAGCTCCAATGGAGGTCATTGATATCGATGCCCCGATGTGTGGACAGGACTGTTTCGGTAACGAGACTTGCATGTCCTTTGCATACGACGCAGCAAAAGGGAAATGCATGAAATATGGAGGCAACTACTTCAGGAACTTCTATAAAACCTCTGGGAACGAGCAACGGAAGGATCTCCCTCTGACAGCGCAACCAATGTATTTCTTCAATCTTTGTACGTGCTATTTATATATTTCTGTTCGTAAGGAACCTAAACTACCATGCGTTGATTCATGTTAAGGGAGGACAATTTTACATGTATATTAGATTGGAATGTACTAACAATACCTGGTTATTGCAAAGATATTACTACCTTTGAGCATCGATACTATGACTTTAATATTAATAGTTACAAACATCCATGAATAGTTTTATTTATAGTCAGTGCGTTATGCATTTACCACCTTAATAATGATAGTCATAACACAAATCTGCATCGAGGCAGATACATGTAGTTTCATCTTAACAATTTTACACAGATATTTCTTTATATTCGACTTGAGCCAATTAACATGTTGCAGGAATGACGCATGTAGTCATTTACTGTTCATGTCATAATATAAACTGTGTTCAAAAGTTTGGTTGATTTCATTTTTGTACATCATGTGATTTTTTCAGGGAAACATTAACACCGAAGCTGAACATTTTATGTATCATACTTGATGAGCCAAAGGCACTGTTAAATAAAAAACATTACGGCCTTTTACTATTCTAGCGCATGCTCTTGATCGGAACTATATCCTGGACAGAGACGCTGGACTGTGTTACAAGATATACAGTAAACAGATGGACCATGAAGAAGCTGAGGCTGTCTGTTCACGTGACAATGCTCGGCTTCTGGCCGTACAGACCATGATACAGCTCAATGCGGTCCTGACCTATATCCAGTCCGAAAGCAGAGACAGTAAGTGCATGCGATTTTGTTCTATCATGATAGATTAATTCAGGGTAAATGACGACTGCTGACGGGCAACTTATAGCACAGGATTTTTAGAGAGACAGGTTGATTTAAAATTGTATTGCTATAATGCTACTGGATTGGGCACAAGTATTACAACTTACATCAATCCATTTCCATAGAGAGACAGGTTGAGGAAGACTGGTTTTATAGTGTCGCCATCATGATCGCACTAGAAACTATGTATACCCTTGCATGATATGAATATAGACGTCTATGGTTGTAACTTGTGGTTTCGCTGTCACTTCCCCAGTTCTCGCTTTGCGAACGTGAAATTAATGCAACATCTGATCTGGTTATTAAACATTTTCAAATGTTTCCTTCATTTTTTTTCGCTTTTCACATATTTGCGTATGCTCATCGAATTTGAGTTCCAATCATGCTCAGGTTTACGCTTTGGTATAATTTTCCAACTAAACCCTGTTAATTTATTCGCCATGATATATCCTGCAACTGTGTTGGATTATTTGCCAGAGTACAACCTCCTATTCAAGTGTATGGATATCAGTATCTTCGGCTACTTGCCCAGCTACCCCTACAAACCGTTCTATATATTTGACGGCCTTGTAGTATACATGTTTGTCCTGTTCCTTGTATTGGAACCGCTCGCATTTGTTGTACTTGCCGAATCTCATATTTTAACAGAATATGCTAGGTTAACTATTGAACAGGGGGATACTCGAAGAAATTTAATCATGAGAAAGAAATGTTAAGTTTTAAAATTGATATTAAAGCGACATCTCTTCTTAACATTTGTTTTTTTATTATTATTTCGATAAATTAAATCTATCAAGAGGTTTCAAATTTGGTATATCTTGTAAAAGTTTTAGAAAATAATTCGTTCATTGTGGTTTTTTTTTATGTGAATAAAGAAAATAAACTACAATACAGATCGTCTAAGTGTGTAAATATAGCAGGTTACTAATTATACTTCATTTTGGCATGGTGCAATGTTCCCCATCAGCACCTTACACGTCCTAGTCAGCTTTTACTTACATGTACAACTGAAGAATAATATGATGTGTCTTGTAGTCGTGATTTCCTTAACCTTGATAACCACATCAATCTCTTTTGAGTAGTGGTTCGGTACATACTTTACTTCTTATTCAATTCTATATTCTATATTAACCTCAGCATTTTGAAACCCATAAAATAAGGTAATTTTTACACATCCCCTTCTGTTTCAACAGTAGTATGGACCCATTTGGGTGCCCTCGTTCTGGCCCGTAGCATCACTGACGAGTCCTAAACGGACGAACGGCTGTATGTTGCAGTGTAATTCATTTAAGGATTAAATCTTGCTTCGGTCAATTTCATTGGTTGTTAAATTGAGTTGGTCCTGCAAAAATATTAATGAACTTCGAAGCAGTTCATGTTTTGCTGATTGATCGTTTCTGGTTTCTCGAACAATTTTTTGTGTAATAAATTAAAAATGTCAAATCTTATACAAGTGGTTACGTTTTTGTTAAAAAATGTCAATAGTTACCTCCCTTCGCAAAATATGAAAATATGTATTCACACGCACAGGCAATGTTAATCCGGTCAATCTCATCGGCAAATGAAATGCGTAACATTTGGTTTTGGTTTGGTTTTATTTTGTTTAACGTTCTATTAACAGCTAAGGTCATTTAAGGACGGCCTCCCCTGTGTGCAAGATGCATGCGTGTAGTGTATGTGAGTATTTTGGAAGGCTGCGATATGTAACATTTGGTAGTTGCATTAGTCAAACTTCAGTAGAAATTGAAATATTTTGGTATATTGTGTCTTTTATCAAATTTAATTTTGTAATCAGCTGTGTGAGTTTTACATTCATCTTTTATTATCAGGCTTCCCATTGCATGTGGCCGGATCAGGGGCTGAAATGACGTACTTCGATGCACAGCCGATCTCGGATGCCCTGTTTTCCACAGACGGGCTCAGTGCATCTGGTAATTGCACGCAGTTAACCGTGTCTGGTCTCTCCAAAGGCAGTTGCAAAGACACGCTCTTCGTCGCTTGTGCTTACTGATAAGGGCTCTTTAACGGTCAATGAAGCCCCAGATGATATGAACGACTGCAGTGGAAGTCAAATTTCATGTCGTTTACAGCTGTTAACAAAGCATTCACGTGTCCTCAAAAGACTGACTGTACTTTATTTATCATCAACACATTTTCAGCAACCGCCCGTCTTTTAAGTCTCGGCAAAGCATCGGTTCTGACATATATTCTACATTCCTCACGTGACTTGCTGTATTTTAATGTTTTGTGTTCCGGTAATATTGTTTGGGCACGTTGTTTTCAGATACTGATTATAACTGTGTGCGTTTAACTGGGATATTCAGTATATCTAGGAAACATTTAAGTAGCAACAGGCAACTTATCTTAATCTTTATTTAACGTATTCAAATATATATGATATCCTATGAAGATAAGTCTAAAAAAAACTCTTTATACTTCTTTGTAAGTTGAGAAAAGCAAATAGAAACTTTGTTGTTACACAAACTATTTGGATTTATGAACACGTTTATTGTTTTCACATTGATAGGATACATATAATCTTATTCCAAAATAGATTCAGTTAATGCATATACAAAGAATATTTAAATAAATTAAATATATCATTAACGGTATAGAAAGCATGCATTTATTATGTAACTCAGCAGTAGCATTTTTGATTTTTTAAATGGTTATTTGTCATCACATTAAAACATGGATAGCAAGAGTGAAGCAACAGAAGAGAATGAATGTATAGGAAAGTAAAGAAAGGTATTGCAAATGAGGCCGCGGATCTATTTCGGTTTCTTCAGTATACCTAAGTGTAGAGGACACAGAGAAGAGGGATGTCCCGCATGAGTCGCCCTTGGATACATGTAGTATGATACAGCAGGTTCTTTTCTTTCCCCAAGCCGGCCATGGGAGTATGGCAAATGTTCATATGCTGATCCCTGTAAGGAAAAGATATGGCAGATAAAAAGCAATCTCAATTATAGTGCAGTGAAATTGATTCTAGACTGAGGTGTGTAATCCCTCCTGTCATCTCTCTTACAGAACAGGAAAAGGGGAGTAACTGGTACATAACTTATTTGTTTCAAAAGACTGATATAGGTTTTTAGTAAATGTTTGAGTAAATTGTAGCAATTTACAAAAGTAATATATTTCTCACGGTGAAAGAAAATCCATTTTGCAAAGACCGGTCAGAACAGTATTTCTATTCACTTCTGTCAAAGCCGCCAAGTTCCTGTTTCAATGCAGATGAAGCAACGGCTGAACACGCTGTTCGTATCTGTGAGTCATGAACTACTGTATTTACACAACCACAAGTTATAACATTTGTGCAAACAAAAGCGGTAAACGATTCTGTTTGGTAACTTCATGGCCAAACGTTACGGTTCTGGTTAGCAATGCGGAGTAACACTTTCCAGTTGTACGTTGTTTCTCATCTTGTCAGATTCAAAAGGTAGATATATTATTTAGCTTACATTTGCATGTTTTTGAAAATATTTAAGCTTAACAATTTGATATCAACTTAAGACTTTTAAACATTTTATAATTGGATTTTTACATATGAAATGTCATTTTTTTGTCAATCTGATTTGTCTATTGTTAAATGCCTTTCAAGGCATAATTTATTTAGTCGAGGGTTCGAGTCGAGTGTCAAAGTGAGATTGTGTCAAAGCTCACAGAATTGTGTTCTGTGACGTTTTTCAATGAAAAGATTCAATACAATTTATTGTAATCCATAATACGTAATTGTATTTGTATTGATAAATCCATTTGACTTCAACAGCATAAATAAATATATAGATATTGGTGATATATAAATGTTGTTTACTTTCAATTATTCATATTTAAGAATACATCTTGTTTATACATTTAATTCCAGTCTTTTAATGCGAGTGATCGTTTGTAAAACAGAAAATATCATTTTTGTTTCAAAAAAACTTTTTATTAATTGCGTATTGTAATCTGTCCTTTGGATGAATTCGGAAATAAACTGATATTGTGTCATATTGACTAAGATTGACACTTATATCAGCGTAAATCCTGAAGTAAAGCATTTATGATATTAATGGAGTTCTTTTTATTTAATATGAGGTTTTTGAAAACGAGTCCAGATGTTGTGACTTTAGAGACTCCGAAAAACTAAAACTAAAATCTTATCACAAATTGAAGACAAGTTCTAAGACATAACCGAGAATATTCATGAAATTTATGTCACATGCAATCGCCAAGTCTAAATGGTCGCTGTTTAACCTAATGGCTATTGTTCAACTTTGCAGTTCATTAAATTTGTTTCAAAACAAGCTCAATTCACCAACCGATAAATCGACCAACGCAAGATTAAATCTTCGTATTCCAATCAAAGTGTGTGTTTTTCAATAACTGGAACGTGCGAAAGACCATTCTGATTCTTTCTCCCAGATTCTGGAGCTTTTGCAAGTCTACATATTGGTGTAATGTAAAATAATGAAGTCGTCATGGAAGAACCATCATAAAACATGATGTGTATGCTGAAAGTTTAATACAGCAATATTATGGGAAACAAAACACAAAAAGATATTTTTGTTGATGAATTCATAAGTTTAAATATTAATTTTCGAACGCGTATTCAAACTCACGCGCGATGTAAATCTAGTCAATTTCATGGGCAAATGAAACAGTTTACATTTGGTAGTTGCATTAGGTCACTATGAGTATAAATTTAGATGTTACTTAATATAATACGCAAAAGTATCACATGAATTAGTTCTATGTATCACTTTATAGTTTTGTGATCAATTGTAAACTAACATATGTATGGCAGGTCACATTGCTCTTAATTGATAATCGATATTATCGATAGCCCTGTATGTACATTGTATTTGTTTTTGTTTTTGTATTGTAGCTGTACTGTGAAAATACTAACTATATTTTATTAGAATGATCAAAACTATTTAGTACAAAAGCTTGAATGGTGTCAACATTTCAATGACTTGAACAAAATCTATTTACTTACTGTTATTTGGTAAGCAACATCTTTCCAAAGTAAGTAATATCACAATATATTGAAGTCTATAATGCCCAGCAGTAGGTATAATATTTACTAATTTCAATAGTGGAAACACCTGTTTGGTATGCTTTACTTTTCTCTTTTATTGTAATACATATACTGTATTACGCTTATCCCAGTCATGACCACGTTTATACATTTTATTTTAATGCTGGTCGAAAGGGTGTTGATAATGTAGAGATAACTTGTGTCAAATCACCTTGTCATATTTTGAGAAATGAGTATTCTTAAAGTTGAACAGGGCGATATTCCTAAGTAGAAATCGCGAAATTGCAATACTAAAATTGTATTTGGCACAACACTAGCACTTCTGTCAAATATCTTACAATATGCTAGTTTGAAATTCAAACAACTCTACTAATCAGGTGGGTTTTTTTATTACTTATTACATGTAAAACCCTATCTATCCTTCACAACTTCTTTATATTGTGAATAAAACCATTGTATGTGGCATATTCATAATTATGTATTGAATATCACAAGAAGTTGCTCAATATTTCACATTCGTAATTATGGATGTTTTGTATTTCTGGCAAGAGAACACAAATATTGAATTAATAGATATTTTTTTTTCAATATTTTTGAGTTGTGAAACTTTAATGGTTATGTAGAAAATAGAAATGAATTGAAGTTGATGTGTTTTAGGAAAACAGTAGTATTTAATTTTTAATGGTGTTTGTTTACGACTACTCTACAAGTCTTGTTAAACCCGTTGACTTTTTTTTATTCGAAACGTTTAAAAATCATTGTGTTTCGTCCCGGTAAAATATTGTGTTGACCAGGTTAGATGTCTTTGAGAATCAATCATGAATTGTTGGGACCGCATTTTGAATGGTATGTAATTTCGGTGACATTAATCCTAGATATATTAGTAAAATAGATCTTCAATAGTTTACTGTATTGTGATACCAGATCATTATGTACTATTTACTCTCATATCTTGGTAGTGATGTTATTTAAGAGATTTAAATATTGCAGTAAGTTATGATGTGCTAATTGAAATATCTGGGTAATGTTTGCCGTTCATATATTGGGGATGCGCCATTTCATTATTGAACTAGTACGTTTAAAATCTCGAAAACACACTAAAATAAGTACGTTAGCAGTATTCAGAATATAAAATGCATTTAAGTATCTTTACTTCGGATACTTTCGATCAAAGTCTGCAACAACGAGTTCCGCTGAATAATGATTATATTTTGACTACAGTTGCGGTAAATAATTTCCTTGGATATCGTACTATTGACTAACTATGTTCCCATCTCTATACTTTTAATTGTGTTGCTATGCAGTTACTTGTAGAGAGAAAAACAAATAGAAAAATGTGTACGCTTTGCCTCATTCAGTTGTAAACGAATCCCCATTAAAATTGTCAACATTTCGGGATGAATATTATTAATGTATAAGTGTATTTTATCGGTAATTGTAATGAATGAGGTTGTACTTACCATTCCATTCTAACGAACTATGACAATTGCGAAAGTGGAGGTAAACTAATGTTGCTAAATTAATTTTGCAGCAACAGGTCGCCATAAATAGCAATATGTAATGAGGTATCATAATGACATTAATTATTGAAATGATATCATATTTTGTTTCTAAAATTAAATAGTAAATAGATTTTCGTACAATATTTGTTAATCAAGTGTTGTCTTTTGATTGTGAAAAAAAGTGATTTAGATGGCAGATAGAGGGCACTATCAGTAAAGTTATTGTGAAAAAAAAAATCTTCTCGAAATATATAAAAAAAAAATGTGAAACATGTGTATAGAACAACCATAGCATTATAATTAATTTGGGCTCATGAAGTTCCGTAATATTTGTGTCCCTGAATCTGCCACCAAATCTGATACAATAAAATCGTGTCCGTATTACATCGACCACTCTTAAACATTATAATAAAATAAAATAATTTACTGAAACATTTAAGATATAATATTATGGTTATATAATCGCCAAATAAACGAATAAAAACTCTT